CCACCCAGGCGCCCCTAGGTATAATATTTTTAATACCAGTATAATTTACATACATTGTTACATGAGTTTCAGGTATACAATATAGTGACAAGGAATCATTTTGAATTGGGAAAATTTGTATTTAATTTGTTGATCTTAAGGTATTATTGACCTTTTGCCTTGCTCTTCCACTTGGTCAGGAATGAGTGGTACAGCTATTGACTTTTTCTGTCTACCAGGGAGGGCTGTCCTCTCCTGTCTAGCACAGATGTTTTGGGTGGTATACCTTTTAATATGTATATACTGTGGCACCAAAGCAATTTTCAAAAAGAATGAAAGCTAGTCTTATTTATCAGCCAAATGATTTTGCTGCATAAGACAAATACAATTGACCTATCTTTTCCTACAGAATTAGTTTTACCAAATGGGTTTTAGAAGCCTATTCATGAGCAGCAGAATTCTTAGTATTAACAGAGAAAATTGTATTTCACCAGCCATGGTGGGAATAAAAAAAAAAAAAAAAAAAGAAGAAGTCAGGTCAACAGACATGGTAGGTAGGCAGTAAGAATGAAAATGAAGGAATATGATTTGATTATTTCTACCTGTGCTGAGAACCTGTATTAATGGAGCTTCTGGGTGGCTCAGTCGGTTGAGCGTCCGACTTCGGCTCGGGTCATGATCTCACAATTTGTGAGTTCGAGCCCCGTGTCAGTCTCTGTGTTGACAGCTCAGAGCCTGGAGCCTGCTTCAGGTTCTGTGTCTCCCTCTCTCTCTGCCCCTTCCCCGCTCATACTGTGTCTCTCTGTGTCTCTCAAAAATGAATAAACGTTAAAAAAATTTAAAAAAAAGAATATTTACATCAGTTTCAGTGTTCTTGAGTCCTTATTGTGTTAATATTGCCAAACCATTGCACCAGTAGTGACAAAGACAATAATTAATTTGGGGCTCCTTGTTGAAGCTCTCAGACCATAGCCACAATTATCCATTTTTTTCATACTGTGTATGTCTCCTGCTACCACAGATTCTCCTTGATGTTTAGACTGGCTTCTTTTCTATAGCCTTGATCGCTGATAGAATGATGTCTGGCACATGGAGGCACCCAGTAAATACTTTCGAATGAATAAGTGTTGTATTTACTTCTCATACAGTTGCTGTTGGTGCTACTTTTTTTTTTTTTTTT